GGGGTCCTTAAAGGGGGGGCAGGTCCAATGGGGGGGTCTCAAGGGGGGTCCCTAAGGGGCGGTCTCTAAGGGGGGGGGGGTCCCTAAGGGGCGGTCTCTAAGGGGGGGGTCCCTAAGGGGGGTCCAATGGGGGTCCCTAAGGGGGGTTCCCCCGTACCGAACATGATGTTGTACTCGGAGTCCCCGTGCAGGTCCCTGGGGGGGTCCCTAAGGGGGGGTTCCAATGGGGGTCCCTAAGGGGGAAGGTCCAATGGGGGTCCCTAAGGGGGGGTCCCTAAGGGGGGGGTCCCTGGGGTCCCTAAGGGGGGGGTCCCTAAGGGGGGGGTCCCTAAGGGGGGGGTCCCTAAGGGGGGGGTCCCTAAGGGGGGGGTCCCTAAGGGGGGTTCCCCCGTACCGAACATGATGTTGTACTCGGAGTCCCCGTGCAGGTCCCTAAGGGGGGGGTCCCTAAGGGGGGGTTCCAATGGGGGTCCCTAAGGGGGGCTCCCCCGTACCGAACATGATGTTGTACTCGGAGTCCCCGTGCAGGTCCTGCTGGTCCAGGCTGGCGGGGAAGAGCTTCACGTACCCCCCCCCGCAGTCGATGCCCTGCTCGTGCTTGACCGTGAACTGCAGCACCAGGCTCCGGCCCCGGTTACTGAAGGGCTGGAACCGGGCCGAGAGGGCGTAGAAACGGGCGTCCTGGCTGGTCTGGAGCCCTGGGGGGAGACAGGGGAGAGGTAAAGGGGGATAAAGGGGGGGTTAAATAGGGAATAATAGAGGGGAAATAATGGGGAATGGTAATAATGGGGAAATGAATAGGGGATAATCAAGGGGAAAATGGGAATGGTAAAGGGAAAGAAATAGGGAATGATAGAGGGGGAAACAGGGATAATAAAGGGGAAATAGGGGATAATAAAGGGGAAATGGGGAATGGTAAAGGGAAAATAGGGAATAGTAAAGGAGAAATAGGAAATAATAAAGGGGAAACAGAATATAAAAGGGAAATAGAGAATAATAAATGGAAATAGGGGATAATAAGGGGGAAATAGGGAATAATAAGGGGGAATAGGGAATAATAAGGGGGAAACAGGGAATAATAAAGGGGAATCAGGGAATATAGAAGGGAAATAGAGAATAATAAAGAGAAAACAGGGAATAATAAAAGGGAAATAGGGAATAATAAAGGGAAAATAGGGAATAATAAAAGAGAAATAGAGAATAATAAAGAGGAAATAGGGAATAATAAAGAGGAAATAAGGAATAATAAAGGGGAAATAGGGAATAATAAAGGGGAAAACAGGAAATGATAAAGGGGAAAGAAATAGGGAATAATAAAGGGGAAATATGGGATAATAAGGGGGAAACAGGGATGATAAAGGGAAAAGGGGAGGGATAAAGGGGAAAGGGGGATGGTAAAGGGGAAAATAGGGAATAGTAAAGGAAAAAACGGGAATAATAAACAGCAAATAGGGAATAGTAAAGGGGAAATAGGGAATAATAAAGGGAAAAAAGGAATAATAAAGGGGAAGCAGAATATAGAAGGGAAATAGAGAATAATAAAGGGGAAATAGGGAATAAGAAGGGGGAAATAGGGAATAAGAAGGGGGAAATAGGGAATAAGAAGGGGGAAATAGGGAATAAGAAGGGGGAATAGGGAATAATAAAGTGTAAATAGGGAATAATACAGGGAAAATAGGGAATAATACAGAGGAAATAGGGAATAATAAAGGGGAAATAGGGAATAATAAAGGGGAAATAGGGAATAATAAAGGGGAAATAGGGAATAATAAAGGGGAAATAGGGAATAATAAAGGGGAAATAGGGAATAATTAAGGGGAAATAACAGAGAATAATATAGGGAAAATAATATGGAATAAAGGGGAAATAATAGGGAAAAATAAAGGGGAAATAGGGAATAATAAAGGGGAAATAGGGAATAGTAAGGAAAAATAGAAAATAATAAAGGGGAAATAGGGAATAATAAAGGGAAATAACAGAGAATAATATAGGGAAAATAATATGGAATAAAGAGGAAATAATAGGGAAAAATAAAGGGGAAATAGGGAATAATAAAGGGGAAATGGGGAATAATACAGGGAAATAAGGAATAATAAGGGGAAATGGGAATAATAAAGGGGAATAGAGGATAATAAAGGGGAAATAAGGAATAATAAGAGAAAATTGGGAATAATAAGGGGGAAACAGGGAATAATACAGGGAAATAGGGAATAATAAAGAGGTAACAGGGAATAATAAAGGGGAAATGGGGACTGATAAAGGGGAAAGGGGATGCATTGGATGCAGGCAGCCCCGGCCTCACCTTTGTCCTTCTCAGCATCCCCATAGAACTTGCCAGCGCTGAGCACGAAGCGCCCATAATCGGGTTTGTGCTTGGATTCCACCCATCGCTGGGTCCAGGCGTCTGCAATGGGAGACAATGGGGCTCAGTGGGACCCATAAGTGCGCTTCGGACCCATAGCTGCCCCATAGAAAGGGGTCAGCCCCAGGGTTAGAGGCCTAAGGGATTCCTCTTGGTACTATGGTCGCCACTGCTTTGAGAATGGTCACTGCTCTCAGCCCCATAGCGGGTCCAATGGGGCCTCCCTCAGCCCCATAGCAGCCTCAGTGGGGCCTCCCTCAGCCCCATAGCGGCCTCAATGGGGCCTCCCCCTCAGCCCCACAGCGGCTCCAATGGGGCCTCCCAATAGAGAACCCCACAGCGGCTCCAATGGGGCCTCCCCCTCAGCCCCACAGCGGCTCCAATGGGGCCTCCCTCAGCCCCATAGCGGCCTCAATGGGGCCTCCCTCAGCCCCATAGCGGCCTCAATGGGGGCTCCCCCTCAGCCCCACAGCGGCTCCAATGGGGCCTCCCCCTCAGCCCCACAGCGGCTCCAATGGGGCCTCCCTCAGCCCCACAGCGGCTCCAATGGGGCCTCCCAATAGAGAACCCCTCTGCCCCCCAACTTAGGGGGGGCTCAGCCCCCCTTTTATCCCCCCCCAAAGGTTTCACTTGGGGGTGATCACAGGCCCCCATTGACTCTCCCTCATCCTCCCCAGTCCCATAACCCCACCATAGGGGGCGATGTCTCTTGGTTCCATTCAGCCCCACATCCTCTCCCCATAGGCCGTCCCCTTCAGCCCTCTACCCACCCCACAAGGGGATCCCCCCCCCTCAGCCCTATATGGCCTTGGGGGACCCTAAGGCCTTCAGAAAGCAGCCCCCCCCATCACTCAGCCCCACATCTACCCCAATGGGACACTCTTCACCCCCACATCTACCCCAATGGGACCTTCCTCACCCCCACATTTGCACCAATGGGACCTCCTCACCCCCACATCTACCCCAATGAGACCTCCCTCAGCCCCACATCTACCCCAATGGGACCTCCCTCACCCCCACATCTACCCCAATGAGACCTCCCTCAGCCCCACATCTACCCCAATGGGACCCCCTCAGCCCCACATTTACCTCAATGGGACCTCCCTCAGCCCCACATCTACCCCAATGGGACCTTCCTCAACCCCACATCTACCCCAATGGTACCTCCCTCACCCCCACATCTACCCCAATGAGACCTCCCTCAGCCCCACATCTACCCCAATGGGACCCCCTACCCCATTTACCCAGGCTCCCTCAGACCCATTTATCTCAATGGGACCTCCCTCAGCCCCACATTTACCTCAATGGGACCTCCCTCAGCCCCACATTTACCTCAATGGGACCTCCCTCAGCCTACATCTACCCCAATGGACCCCCTCACCCCCACCTTTACCCCAATGGTACCTCCCTCAGACCCATTTACCTCAATGGGACCTCCCTCACCCCCACATTTACCTCAATGGGACCTCCCTCAGCCCCACATCTACCCCAATGGGACCCCCTCACCCCCACATTTACCCCAATGGTACCTCCCTCAGACCCATTTACCTCAATAGGACCTTCCTCACCCCCACATTTACCTCAATGGGACCTCCCTCACCCCCACATTTACCTCAATGGGACCTCCCTCAGCCCCACATTTACCTCAACGGGACCCCCTCAGCCCCATGTACCCCACCCCCACCCCCCTGACCCCCCCCTCACCTCCATCCCCGAACTCCTCCCGGAAGTACTGGGTGGGCTCCGCGGCCGCCAGCGCCAGGAGGGCTCCGAGCAGGACAAGGGGGAGGCAGCTTCGGGTCATGGCGGGGTCCACACGCGGCCCAGCGCGCTCCGCTCCGCACCGACGCCTCCCTCCCGGCCCGCCGGCGCCCGGCACTGCGGAGGGGGACGAAGGCGGCGCCGCGTTATATAACCCCACCGCCCCTCGTCCCGCCTCCCGGCACCTCCCATTGGCCGAGGCTTTCGGAGGACACGCTCCTATTGGCCGCCGGCCCGCTGGCCGGCGGCGACGGCGCCCCCGAACGTTGGCGTCCCAGATGGCCGCTTCTCATTGGCTGCGCACGGAGACCAATCAGGAGCGACCACGCGTTAGGAAGGGGACGCCTCCTCCCCGCCCTCCCGCCTCGCGCTGAGCGGAGGGGGGGGCGTGTCACCGCGGTCACGTGAGCCCGCGTGCGCACTCTTAAAGGCCCCCTCCCCCCCCGAGGAGCACGTGCGGGGCGGTGCCGCCATCCCATAATAGCACCGGGGGGGAGGGGAGGGCCAGATCCTTATCCCGGTGTTATTATGGGATGGCGAGGCACGTGACTCCCGGGGGGGGCCTGCTTCTGCACCCCCATCTCAGGAATAGAAATAGCAGTGACGCAACGGTGACGTCATACGCTCGAATGACGTCACGCGCGACCCGCGCTACGGAAGCCCTGCGGCCTCCCGGGTCTACTGTCGCAGCACCCACCCTTGCAGGCCCTCGTGACGTCACTCCGCCGCGTCATGACGTCACCCCCAATCCCACCGGTGGGCCAGGTCCGCAGCGCCCAACATGGCGCCCGCCACACTCAAGATGGCGCCGCCCTAACGCTGCCTTCCCCCCCACCACCACACTCAAGATGGCGCCCTCCGTTCCCTCCGTTTCCGGTCGGTGCCGGCCGCGCTTCCGGCTGCCGACGATGTCGCCCAGCGTGGCCGAGCTGCTCCTGCAGCGCCTGGAGCGGGAGGCGCCGGGGCCCGGGGGCGGCCTCTGCAGCCTGGAGGCGGCCGCCGCGCTCGGCCTCGACCACCAGACCCTGGTGGGCGCCGTCAAGAGCCTGCAGGCGCTGGGGGAGGTGGGTGAGAGCCGGGACATCCGGTTACACCGGGACACGCGGGGGGGGGGAGATCCGGTTGCACCGGGATAGGGAGTGGGGGGGCATCCGGTTGCACCGGGATACGGGGGGGGAAGCTCCGGTGATCCGGTTGTAAAGGGATACGGAGGGGAGTGAAACTCCGGTGATCCGGTTGCACCGGGATATGGAGGGGGAGAGATCCGGTTGCACCAGGATACGAAGGGAGGGGGGAAGCTCCGGTGATCCGGTTGCACCGGGATAGGGAGTGGGGGGGGGGAGATCTCCGGGGAATCCGGTTGCACCGGAATCCAAGGGGGGGGGAGCTCCGGTTGTACCAGGATATGGAGGGGGGGTGAGCACCGGGGCATCCGGTTACACCGGGATACGGGGGGGAATCGGGGTCACCCCCCCGGTCACTCCCCCTTAGGTGATCGAGGCGGAGGCGCGGGCGGCCACGCGATGGGAGCTGAGCCCCGAGGGCACGGAGGTGCTGCGGGACGGGAGCCCCGAGGTGCGGCTCTTCCACTGCGTCCCTGCAGAGGGGCTGCCGCAGGGCGATGCCATGGTCAGTACCAAAGGGGGGGGGGGGGACACACAGAGGGCAACACCGGCCCCATCGGAGGGCTCATGTGTGTTCCCCCCCCCTTTTCCTCCCCGTTAGAAGCTGCCCGGGGGCTCCATTGGCTTCAGTAAGGCCATGGCCAACAAGTGGCTGCGCTTGGACAAGGGAGCACCGGGGGGACCCCGCGTCTTCCGTGCCGTGAGTGATGCAAAGGGAGGGGGATCCATTGGATCCCTGGGGGGGGGTCCCCATTAGGGTGGTCCCCAGCACCCTGAACCCCAACTCTCGGTCACCCATAGGTGCCGGAGGTGCAGGACACGGTGCAGGAGGCCCTGCGGCGCCTGCAGCAAGGGGAGGCCGAGACCGTCCCTGAGCGCGAACGCAACGACCTCAAGAGGAGGAAGCTGCTGCTGGAAGTGTGAGTTTAGGGGGGTACATTTGGGGTTACCCCCACTTTAAGCCCACCCCCTTTTAACCCCTTTGCCCCCCCCCCCAGCACCCTCAAATCCTATTGGATCCGGAAGGGCAACGCTTTCAGCACGGCGGTGGCGCGGCAAGAGACGGAGCTGACACCGGAAATGATCGCGACGTGAGCGCATCCGGACACCCCCCTATTCCCCAAAACGTTGTTTGTACCCCAAAAACGTTACCTGGGAGCCCTAAAACGTTGCTGTGTCCCCCTCAATAGGGGTTCATGGCGTCAGCTCCACTTCAAACCCTACAACTTCGCAGCATTGGGGTTGCCACCGCCTGCAGGGCACCTCCATCCGTTGCTGAAGGTTCGCTCCGAGCTGCGGCAGATCTTCTTGGAAATGGGGTGAGTTTTGGGGTGCTCCCCCATTGGTAATAGGGGGGAACCCCCCCCCCATGTTTAAGGTGGTTTTGGCATCCCAAGGTTCACGGAGATGCCGACGCAGAACTTTGTGGAGAGCTCCTTTTGGAACTTCGATGCCCTATTCCAGCCGCAGCAGCACCCGGCGCGGGATCAGCACGACACCTTCTTCCTGCAGGGTGGGTTGAAAAGGGGGGTCTATGGGGAGAGAAAGGGGGGGGGGATAAGAACCCCCTCTTCCTGAACCCCGTTTCTATGCTTATAGACCCCGCTGAGGCCCCTGAGCTGCCCACTGGTTACACAGCCAAGGTGAAGAAGGTCCATTCACAAGGAGGTTACGGCTCGCAAGGGTGACGGTGATACCCATAGGGTCCCCGCTGAACGTTCTCACCCTATATAGGGTTTAGGGGGGTCTGTACCCCCATTCCCCCCCTCATTAAGCCTTAATGCCCCCCCATAGGTACAAATACGACTGGAAGCTGGAAGAGGCACGCAGGAACCTGCTGCGCACCCACACCACAGCCGCCAGCGCCCGCATGCTCTATAGGCTGGCTCAACAGGTAACACCCCCAATTTGGGGGGGTTCAGCACCCCTAATGCATCTGAATGCCTCACCCCCCCCCACCGCAGGTTTCATTTGGGGGTGATCACAGCCCCCCATTGACTCACTCCCATCGCATCACCCTCAGCTGTTAGGATTGGGGGGGCAGGGTTGGTTTTTGGGGTACGGGACCCCCATAACTCGATGCGTTCCCCATTGTTTCCGGCTCAGGAGAGGTTCACCCCAGTGAAATACTTCTCCATCGACCGCGTGTTCCGCAACGAGAGCCTGGACGCCACGCACCTCGCCGAGTTCCACCAGGTCGAAGGCGTCGTGGCCGACCGCGGCCTCACCCTGGGCCACCTCATGGGCATCCTGCGGCAGTTCTTCACCAAGCTGGGTATAATGGGGGGGGACATAAATACCCCCCCTCTCCCCATTAATTTAGGGGGGGGGGCACCCCCTTTACCTTGTGTTGTCCCCCAGGTATCAGCCAACTGCGGTTCAAGCCGGCGTATAACCCCTATACAGAGCCCAGTATGGAGGTGTTCAGCTACCATGAGGGTGAGGGGGGACCCCAATGTGGGGTAAAAGGGGGGGGTGATGGGTCCCCAAAGGAGCATCGTGGGGGGGGGTGTTGGGGGTCATTTCTTCTATAGGGTTAGGGGGGTTTGGGGTACCTATGGGGGGGGTTTGGGGTATCCCTGTAATAAAGAGGGGTTTGGGGTATCCCTATACTAAGGGGGGCCTTTAGAGTACCCCAATGGGGGGGGCTCGGTTACCACTATGGGGTGAGGGTCATCCTATATAGGGACTATATATACTATATAGAGTGATAAAGGGGTATTCCTATGGGAAGGGGTGTGTGTGCACCCCCCCCCTTGGATTAGGGGCTCCCTATGCCCCCCTCCCTCACTCCTATGGGGCTGGCATGAGGATCATCTTATATAGGGGTTATATATCCTATACAGGGGTATATAGGGTTATACAGGGGTACCCATATGGGAAGGGGCTGTCTTTTGGGGGGGGCGGTGTGCACCCCCCTTGGGATTAGGGGCTCCCTATGGCCCCCACTCACCCCTATTGCTGGGATGAGGGTCATCCTATATAGGGGTTATGTATGCTATATAGGGGTATATAGAATGATACAAGGATATCTCTATGGGAAGGGGCTGTCTTTTGGGGGGGGTGTGCACCCCCCATTGGATTAGGGGCTCCCTATGGCCCCCCCTCACCCCAATGGGGCTCTGCCCCCCCATATAGGGCTCAAGAAATGGGTCGAGGTGGGGAACTCGGGGATCTTCCGCCCGGAGCTGCTGCTGCCCATGGGGCTCCCAGAGAACATCTCGGTCCTGGCCTGGGGGCTCTCCTTGGAGCGGTGAGTTTGGGGGGGGGGGTACCCCCATAGGGCAGGGGTATGGGGGGCACCTTCCTATTGACCCCCCCTAGCACAGGGATATGGGGGGCACCTTCCTATTGACACCCCCATAGCACAGGGATATGGGGGGCACCTCCCTATTGACCCCCCCGTTCTCTTCCGCAGCCCCACCATGATCAAATACGGCATCAACAACATCCGGGAGCTGGTGGGGCACCGGGTGAACCTGCAGATGGTCTACGACGGGCCCCTGTGCCGCATGGCCGCCTGAGCTCCGGCCCCCCAATAAAGCTCTTTCACCCACCGGGGACCCGTGTCTGTGATGGGGCAGCGCTTTTGGGGGGGGCTGGTATGGAAAGGGGAGAGGGGGGTGGCTCCTACACAGCCTGCACCCCCCCACATAAGCGGAGCTTACCGGTCCCGGCGGCCGCCATGTTGGCTCCTTCCTCAGCGGCCGCCATGGCGGCTTCTTCTTCACTGCCAGCTTCCCGCCTTTTTGCTTTCGGCTTTCTGATTGGTTCGTCGTCAGCCAAGCCGGGCGCTGATTGGTGGCTGGAGTCCCCGCCCACTTTACCTCAGAGCTCTGGGTCCTCTCTCGCCGCCTTCTGGCCGCTTCCCGGTGGCTCCGTCCCGGTCCTGTCCCCGTCCCCATCCCCGTTCCCGACCCCCCGGTCCGGGAATGTCACGGAAGGAACATGAAGGCCCCGAGCCGGAGGCCGGCGCCAGCCCCGCTGTGGCAGGGGTGGGCAGGGATGAGCCCCCCGGGGAGGACGCTGACAGGTAACGCCGTTAACACCGCTGGTGCCTCATGGGTTCGGCTTCAATTGGGTTCCTGATTAACAAGAGTATGAGTTCGGGGGCCTTTGAGCCCCACTTCCCCCATAGACACCAGTTTGGGGCCCACTGACCCCCACTTCCCCCATAGACACCAGTTTCGGGGCCCGTTTGCCCCATTTCCACCATAGGCGCCAGTTTGGGGCCCATTGACCCTCAATTCCCTCATAGACACCAGTTTGGGGGCCCATTCACTCCCAGTTCCACCATAGGCACCAGTTCGGGGCCATTTGGCCCCCAGTTCCACCATAGGCACCAGTGTGGGAGCCCATTGACCCCCAGTTCCACCATAGGCACCCGTTTGGGGGCCCATTGAGCCCCACTTCCCCCACAGGCACTAGTTTAGAGCCCCATTGGCCCCAAGTTCCACCATAGGCACCGGTTTAGAGCCCCATTGACCCCCAGTTCCCCCATAGGCATCACTCAGCAGCCCATTGACCCCTCTTCCTCCAACTGGCACCATTTAGGAACCCATTGACCCCCACAGGCACTATTTTGGGGGCCCATTGTCCCCCAGTCCCCCCATAGACCCCACTGCTCCCCCTCCCACATGTGTCTGTGTTTGGGCCTGGGACGGAGCCGGTGCCCGGTGCAGAGGCAGCGCTGGATGCTCCATCCTCCCGGTACTTCGCCGCCCTGGATGCCAGCGTTGGGGACCTGCAGCACCGCGCTCAGCACCTCATTGACAGCGTCAACAGCAGCAGGAAGCAGGATCACAGCGTGATGAGCACCTTCCGAGACAGCCTCCTGCTCAAGGTATGGGGGTGATGGTGTCCAAATGGGGGTGAGGAGCCCCTGACCCACACATGTGCTTAATCCCGTTATTCCACCCGGGTTGGCAGCGGGATGAGGTCCTAATGTGGTGCCATGTGTGTTGTATATGGTGGGGAGGGAACAGGGGGGGAGCACCCCCAAACCCAGCTGCCTCCAGCCCTGCTTTGGGCCACGCAGAGGGGGGCCCATGGCCAACAAACCCCCCTCTAGGGATGGAGCCGCTTCCCATCCTCGCTCAGCTGCCTCCCTCATTGCCCTTTGCAGCCCCATAGCCGTGAGCAGGGGTTGGATATGGGCTCCCCCAGGCCCATGGGCAGATGGGGGCTCAGCTGCAGCCCATGGTGACCCGGTGGCAACGGCTTCGGCTCCGGTGCTCAGCCACAGCTGCCACCTCCTCTTGAGAGGCAGATCCCCCTCCTGAGCCTATGGACGAACCAGTTTCACCCCCCCATTGCCTCCCCTTCTCCTCCCAGGTTTCGGGCCTGGCGGAGCAGCTGGAGGAGCGGCTCTTCCACCTCTATGGCATCCACAATGAGCTGATCCAGGAGCGGCTGCAGGAGCTGGCTGAGGTGATGGAGAGGGTTGGGGAGGCCGCGGCCGAGCTCCGCCACGTCTGCCGCACCGTGGAGGCTGCTTACCGGGACCTCTGCCTGCAGCCCGAGACCTGAACCCCTGGCCCCATTGCTCCCCTATGGAGCTGCCCCAAAGTGGGGTACGGGGGGGGGGTGGTTTGGCCCCCCCCCCCAAAAAGGGCTTTGCTGTTGTTTGGGTTTAGCACCAATAAAAGGAGCCAAACCCGTGTGGTTGGGGTGATGCTGGGGAGAAGGGATGGGATCCAGAGGGACCTGGAGGTGTGGGACCATGAGGACCTCATGGAGATCACCAAGGCTGCGGCAACCCCAGGCTCTGGGGTGGGTGATTTGATGCAGAGCACCCCAAAGGGGTGAGGAGGAGCTCAACGTGAGCCATGCCCAAGGAGGGGATCCTGCCCCTTGCCTCTGGTCCCATCCCATTTGGCTGCCGCATCCAGCTCCATTGTCCTCAATGTTCAGGAGGCCACGGAGCTTCATTAGCGCTGATGAGGCTGCTGCTAATGAGCACAGGGGGCTTTTATTGGCCAGGAGGAGGCGTGAGGGTGGCCACAGCACCCATTGGTGACAGTGGCTTCTGTCTGTGCTGTGACAGCTTGATCTGTGGGTGACACCGGCTATGGTCACTGCTTGTGCTGGTGACAATGGGTCTGGGTGGTGACACCAGGTCCGGTTGGTGACACTGGGTCCGGTTGCTGACAGGTTGTGCTGGTGACACCAGGTCCGGTTGGTGGCACTGGGTTCGGTTGGTGACACTGGGTCCGGTTGGTGACACCGGGTCCGGTTGGTGACAGGTTGTGCTGGTGACACCGGTTCCGGTTGGTGGCACTGGGTCCAGTTGCTGACAGGTTGTGCTGATGCCACCAGGTCTGGTTGGTGACACCAGGTCCGGTTGGTGACACCAGGTCCGGTTGATGGCACTGGGTCTGGTTGCTGTCAGGTTGTGCCAGTGCCACCATGGTTGGTTGGTAACACCAGGTCCCGCTGGTGACACTGGGTCCGGTTGGTGACACCAAGTCCAGTTGGTGGCACTGGGTCTGGTTGCTGTCAGGTTGTGCTGGTGCCACCAGGTCCGGTTGGTGACACCAGGTCCAGTTGGTGGCACTGGGTCCAGTTGGTGGCACTGGCTTGGTTGTTGACGGGTTGTGCCAGTGCCACCAGGTCTGGTTGGTGACATTAGGTCCAGTTGGTGGCACTGGGTCCGGTTGCTGTCAGCTTGTGCTGGTGCCACCAGGTCCAGTTGGTGACACCAGGTCCAGTTGGTGACACCAGGTCCGGTTGGTGGCACTGGGTCCGGTTGCTGTCAGGTTGTGCTGGTGCCACTAGGTCTGGTTGGTGACACCAGGTCCAGTTGGTGGCACTGGGTCCAGTTGCGGTCAGCTTGTGCTGGTGCCACCAGTCCCACTCACCAGCACCATCCCCTTGTATCCTCCACCGCCGGTGACACCATGGTCCCACTGGTGACACCATCACCCCCCCGGTGCCATCCTGGCCCCAGTGTGACCCCATCAGCTCCTTGGTGCCGGGGGGGCGAATGCCTGGATACCAGTGATGGCCCGGCCCAGGATGAGCACATGGATATCATGGGTGCCTATGGGGTGGAGGGGGGGGGAAACCCATGTTATAGTGGAACCCAGTACACCAGTGCCTTCCCCCCCATATCCCATAATATCCCCCAATCCCATTGGCACCTTCATAGGTGTTGACAGCCTCCAGGTTGAGGAGGTGACGGATAACATGGAACTCATCACAGATCCCATTGCCCCCCAGCATGTCCCGTGCCTCCCGCGCGATGCTCAGCGCCTTCCCGCACGAGTTCCGCTTCAGCATCGACACCATCTCGGGGGCTGCCCTATAGGGACCAAGACCCCTTTTAGGGTCACCCCCTTTGGGGTTTGTGTCATTAATGGGGTCCCCCCCCCCCTTACCCCATAGCACCCACCGGCCCTCGTCCTTGAGGCGCCCGAGGCGAAGGCAGGCTTGGAGCCCCAGGGCGATCTCGGTCACCATGTCCGCCAGCTTCTTCTGCACCAACTGGTTCCGTGCCAGCGGGCCCCCAAACTGGTGCCTATGGGGGATATGGGGGTTAATGGGACCCTAAACTGGTGTCTATGGGGGTCAATGGGACCCCAAACTGGTGTCTATGGGGGTCAATGGGACCCTAAACTGGTGTCTATGGGGGTCAATGGGACCCTAAACTGGTGCCTATGGGGGACACTGGGGTCAATGGGCCCCTAAACTGGTGCCTATGGGGGACATGGGGGTCAATGGGCCCCTAAACTGGTGTCTATGGGGGACATGGGGGTCAATGGGACCCTAAACTGGTGTCTATGGGGGACATGGGGGTCAATGGGACCCTAAACTGGTGTCTATGGGGGAAGTGGGGGTCAATGGGCCCATAAACTGGTGTCTATGTGGGACATGGGGGTCAATGGGACCCCAAACTGGTGCCTATGGGGGACATGGGAGTCAATGGGACCCCAAACTGGTGCCTATGGGGGACATGGGGGTCAATGGGACCCTAAACTGGTGTCTATGGGGAAACTGGGGGTCAATGGGCCCCCAAACTGGTGTCTATGGGGGTAGTGGGGGTCAATGGGCCCCCAAACTGGTGTCTATGGGGGTAGTGGGGGTCAATGGGCCCCCAAACTGGTGTCTATGTGGGACATGGGGGTCAATGGGCCCCCAAACTGGTGCCTATGGGGGAAGTGGGGCTCAATGGGCCCCCAAACTGGTGTCTATGGTGGAGGGGGGCAGCTTTGGGGGGCAGGACCCCCGTTTTGGGGTGCAGATGGGGGTACCTGTCCAGGACGTATTGCCGCGCCGTCTCCAAACAGGCCTCAGCAGCACCCAGAGCCCCCCAGGCGATGCCGTAGCGCGCATGGTTGAGGCACCCAAAGGGACCCTATAGGATAACATAGGAGCACCCCAATGCCCTATAGACTGACATAAGGCCCCTCCATAACCATATAGACTGACACAGGACCCCCCAAACCCTATAGCTCCATATAGAACCTCCCCAAAACATTATGTACTTATACAGATCCTACACAGCCCCATAGAGGACATCCCCCCCAACCCCTATAGACTGATACAGGCCCCATAGAGCCCCATAGAGGACATCCCCCCAAACCCCTATAGACTGATACAGGCCCCATAGAGCCCCATAGAGGACACCCCCCAAACCCCTATAGACTGATACAGGCCCCATAGAGCCCCATAGAGGACATCCCCCAACCCCTATAGACTGATACAGGCCCCATAGAGCCCCATAGAGGACATCCCCCCCAACCCCTATAGACTGATACAGGCCCCATAGAGCCCCATAGAGGACATCCCCCCAAACCCCTATAGACTGATACAGACCCCATAGAGCCCCATAGAGGACACCCGGCAAACCCCTATAGACTGATACAGACCCCATAGAGCCCCATAGAGGACATCCCCCCCAACCCCTATAGACTGATACAGGCCCCATAGAGCCCCATAGAGGACATCCCCCCAACCCCTATAGACTGATACAGGCCCCATAGAGCCCCATAGACGACATCCCCCCAACCGCTATAGACTGATACAGGCCCCAAAGAGCCCCATAGAGCCCCATAGAGGACATCCCCCCAAACCCCTATAGACTGATACAGACCCCATAGAGCCCCATAGAGGACATCCCCCCAACCCCTATAGACTGATACAGGCCCCATAGAGCCCCATAGTGCCCATAGCACCCCATAGCACCCCACAGCGCCCCATAGCGCCCCACAGCGCCCCACAGCGCCCTCACCGCCATGCCCTGTGCCCCCGGCAGCACGTTCTCCTCGGGCACCTCCACGTCCTCCATGAGGATCATGCCCGTGGGCGAGGCCCGCAGCGAGCACTTGCCCTGGATGCGGGGGGTGCTGAGCCCGCGCCGGCCCCGCTCCAGGAGGAAGCCCCGCACCCGCCGGTCCTGCTCGCACACGGCCCACACCAGGCAGAGGTCAGCGACCGGGGCGTTGGTGATCCTGGGGGGGGAGGGGAGGGGGGAAATGGGGGGGTTAGGGGGGGATGGGGGAGGGATGGAGGGGGGTGGGGGTTTGGGGGGGTTGGGGGGTGGTTTTAGGGGGCATGGGGGGGATGGGAGGGGATGGGGGAGGGGGGTTAGGGGGGGATGGGGGTGGGGGGGATGGGAGTGGGGTTGGGGGCATTGGGAGTGTGGTTCGGGGGGGTTTGGGGGAGTTGGGATTGGTTGGGGGAGGTTTTGGGGGGGTTTGGGGGTGGGGTTGGGAGGGGATGAGGGGGTTGGGATTGGGTTTTGGGGGGGTTGGGGAGTGGGGTTGGGGAGAGATTAG